CTTGTGCAGATATTCTGTTATCTAATTTATCTAGAACCACATTCTTCTTCATTGCCACAGCTTCTATTAGGGCCAACATCTCTTCATCTGAGAAATTGGGTCTTCTTTTCTTTTGAGTTGGACCCTCCATGGCGTTGTTTACCTTTGGTGTAGTGCGGCGATGAAACAGCTGAGATTTGTGGTTTTCTATTGGCTGTTACGTCTACGAGGCTGATTGCTGATTGGTCATTTAGCTACCGATCTGCCCTCTCTTGGCAGCTTAAGGAATTAACTTACGATGTTGACATTAGCCTTACAATGTGCTTACTACATTGTAATTTTTTTTTGAGTATGGGTCACTTACAATATAGTTAGGAGTTCGTAAGGTACGATGTGGTAAGGCGGTTACAACGTCCTCGACCTTGTAACTTACGGGTTGTTTTGAGTATCCGGCCCCAGGTCTGTGTGTCTGCTGCACAAGACCGAGTGGTCATTGGGGGAGACTTCAATACACATCATCCCATCCTAGCTCCCTGCCGGGGACCGGATGCGGCTGGCCGTCACATAGCCAGCATGCTTGAGACATTCCCCGAGATCGCTCTCCTCAACACCAGAGAACCAACGCATGTCGGCGGTTGGGTACTGGATCTCACCCTGGTCACTGCGACTCTGGTGGACAGGATTAGCTGGTGTGTTGATGAGACTGTCACAAGCGACCATTACGGCACGGTGACCACTCTCATGGACGCAGGCCCAACCGATATCCCACGACCGAATCCAATATGGAAAACAGACAAGGCCAACTGGCAGGTGTTTCAGAACGCCTTGGCTCACTGTCTGAGAGGCAACGAATCCACACAAGCCGAAAACGTGGATGTGCTGGAAGCCAGACTGGTACAAGCCATAAACCAAGCAGCCTCAGTGACCATACCAGAACTCGGTCCGCGTCCTTGTATAACGACGAGATCAGGGAGGTCAACCACAGGGTGAACATGTGCCGAAAACTGTTCCGAAGGCAAAGAACCCCCGACAACCTCGCACTACTGAGGGAGGCTGTCAGGGATGTCAAGGAAACTGCCAACAGAGTCAGGCAGGAGACATGGTTGGAATGGTGAGTCCTTCGATCACCAAACCACCATCTCAGAGCTGTGGCAACGGGTCAGGCGAGCTACCAGCCGCTCAGCCCCGAGACGAACGCACTACGACCCTCAAGTAGAGGCAAACAGACTGGTGCACCAGTTCTATGAGAGAACAAGCAGCAACAGTCTACCAGCTGAGCTGAGGGGCAAACAAGAAAGCCTGAAAGCAGATCAGAGAAAGGGCAGCCGAAGCCGATAATTCAGACGTTATCTTTTCTCTGAGGGAACTTCGAAAAGCCTACAAGTTGAGTTCCAATACAGCCCCGGGCTCTGATGGGATCACGTATCCCATTATCTCCCACCTAGGACGAGAAGGTGAACTTGCACTCCTGCAACTCATCAACAAGTCCTGGGAATCTTCCTCTCTACTGCAGAGCTGGAAGAGGGCTACCATAGTTCCCATCCCAAAAGCCAAGGAACCGGGGAATTACCGCCCCATCTCTCTCAGCTGTCTGGCCAAGACGGCCGAGAGGATGGTAATGAACCGGCTCCTGTGGAAAATGGGACCCCTGCACAGGTTCACCAGGGGAATGAGCACTGCACACAGCATAGCCACGCTCTTGAGCACAGTCACCACAACCTCATCCGTGGTAGTATTCCTGGACCTGGAAAAGGCCTTTGAACTAGCAAGCCCTCTTGCTATTCAGGAGGCCCTGGCCCAGAAGGGAATCAGAGGAAAGCTCTTGGCTTGGATAGGAGACTACTTTAAGAACAGAACAGCCAGAGTGAAGTTCCAGGGTCACCTATCGCAGTACTTGCCACTGGAAAATGGGACACCACAGGGTGGGGTTCTCAGTCCAACCCTATTCAACGTACTCATGTCCTGTATCCTCAACATGAACCTCCCGACGGGGTGATCTCGCCATCACCGCCATTGGGACACAATGCCTAAGTAAAGCCCAGCGTTGTCTGGACCTTGTGTCTGAGGAGTGTTGCAGGACAGGACTTAAGATCTCAGCAGCCAAATCTAAGGCCATGGCTCTGGGAAAGCGAGTGCAAGGCACAAGTCTGAGGATCCAGGGAGTAGACTTGGAATGGGTCCCGGCGTTCCAATACCTTGGGGTATGGGTAGACCGGACCCTCTCCTTCCGGCAGGAGACCAAGTACCTGGTCGACCGATGCAAAGCAAGACTGAACGTCATGAGAGCAATGACTGGGAAACGCATAGGAGCCAGACACAAAGTACTAAGAGCCTTCTATGTACATGCTGTCAGGCCCATTGTGGATTACGCCTCAGTCGCCCTAATTGACAGAAAGAAAAAATACAGAGAAAAATTGGAAACAGTCCAGAATGAAGCTGCCAGAATCATTCTGAGTGCCCCGTGGTGGTCAAAGGTCCCCAACCTCCTGATGGAGGCCAACCTTTTCCCCCTGGACTCACG